CAGAATTGTCTGCTAAAGTCCTCTGTCCAGTTCTCTACTGGATTGGTTTTGTTGTTGTTGTCATTGAGTTTTTAAATTTGCTGATATATTATTGACATTAATCCTTTGTCAGATATGTGGTTTGTAAATATTTTTCCTCATAGGGCTGGGTATTTCCTTTGCTATACCAAAACTTCTGAGTTAAATGCAGTCTCATTTATTTTGTTTTGCCCATGCTTTAGGAGTTTGTCCTAGAAGTTATCACTTACCAACATCTTGGAGTGTTTCCATTAGGTTTACTTTCAGCAACTTCAAAGTCTTCAGTCTTAAATACGGGGTTTTAACTCATTTGGAGCTAATTTTTGTACATGGAGAGAGATTTGGACCTAATTTTGTTATTCTAAATTGTACTTTCAGTTTTGCCTGCACTATTTATTGAAAAAAAAAAAGATTATCCTTACTCTGTTGTATGCTCTGAAAACTTTGGTGAACAATCATTTGGTTGTGTGTACATGAAATAGTTTTGGGGCCCTCTATTCTGTCCCATTAATCTATGTATCACTTTTTATGCCAGTCCCCTGCTGTTTTCATTACTGTTGCTTTGTGGCATTTTCTGAAGCAGGTATTATGGTGTCTCCAGTTTTGTTTTTGTTGTTCAGGATGACCTCAGCTATTCTTAGTTTTTTTGTAATTCCATACACTTTTTCGGATTGCTTTTTCTGATTCCATGCAGAGTGTAATTGGTATTTTGACAGGGATTGAATATGTAGATTTCTTTAGGTGACATGGGCATTTAATGATGCTTATTCTTCTGATCCATGATCAAGAAATATTTTCCCATTTTGTGTGTTTGTATATCCTATATGATTTCTTTCATCAGTGTTTGACACTTTTTATTGTAAAGATCTTTCAGTTGTATAGATTATTGATTTCTTTATTTTTGGTGGCTGTTTGGGATTTTTTTTCCTGGATTTTTCTTTCTGTGAGTTCATTGTTGCATTTCTGGGGTAAGCATAACTAGATCCTGATGCACATTTTTGCTGTGGTTTTGGATTCTGTTTGCTAGTATTGTGCTGAGAATCTTTGCATCTATGCCCATTAAGGGTATATGTGTGCAGTTTTTCTGCTGTAATTTTGCTTGGTTTCATTATCAAAGTAATGCTAGGCTCATAAAAAGAGTTTTTGCAGAGTTTCATTGTGTTCCACATTTTGGAATAAATTGAAGAGTATTGGAGTTACTTCTCTGAATGTTTTGTAGAATCCTATAGTGAAGGTCCCAGACTTCTCCTTTATAGAATGCTTTTCATTATTGCTCCAACCTCACTGTTATGAGTCTGTTTAATTTGTTCATATGTGCTGGATTTAATTTGGTAGGTTACATGAATCCAAGAATCCAATTCATTTCTTTGAAACTTTCCACATATTCACATAGTTGTTCATAATAGCTTCTTATGATCCTTTGTAAATAGTGATATCAGTCATAATGTCTTCTTTGGTACCTATTGTTACTTATTTGGATTTTTTTCTCTTTTTCTTAGTCTGGCTGTAGGTTTGTCTACTTTGTCTACCTTCTCAAAAAGCATATTTGTTTTGTTGATGTTTTGCACTTATTTTAGTTTCAATTTTATTTATTTCTGTTCCGATTCTTCTTATTTCTCATTTTCTGTTTATTTGGGATTTTTTTCTTCCCTAAGTGTTCAAGTGTATCATCAGATCTTGAACCTGAGACTTTTTTCTTTTTTAATGTAAGTACTTATTGCTATAAGCTTCTCTCTTAACACTGCTCTTGCAATGTCCTGTGGGTTCATATGTTACGTCCTTATTTTCACTTATCTGAAGAAAGTTTTTGATTTCCTTTTTAATTTCTTTAATACTACATTCATCATTTAATAGAATATCATTTAATTTTAGAGTATCTATGTGTGTTCTAACGTTTTTCCTGCCTTTTTTTTTTTTACTTTTATTCCTTTCTGAAATAAAGGAATGAAAAGATGCACGTTTGATTTTAGTTTTTTAAAATTTGCTAAGACTTGATTTGTGGCCTAACTCCTGGTCTATCAAAGAAAATGTGTTCACGTGCTGATGAGGGGAATGTGTAATTGTGGAACTGGTTGTGAAACGTTCTAGCAACATTTTTATTTTCTCAGTAGTATGTCTCAATAGCAACCAATATTTATTGATTTTTATGTCTATTGCTGGAAGTGGGGCTTTGAAGTCACTCACTCTGACTGCATTGGAGGCTCTCTCTAGATCTAATGCTGTGTGCTGTTTATATACCTGGGCAGTCCTGCACTGGCTACATATGTATGTCTTCTTCCTGAGTAGAAACTTTTATCAAAATATAAAACTTCTATCTCTTTTTACACATTTTATTTGATATATTTACTTAATTTTGGAGCTAATATGTCCTTTTGGAGCCCTCCCTTTCATTCTGTGTAGCTTTGTGAAGTGAGTTGCTTGTAGGCAGCTTTTACTGGGGTCATGGTTTTCTTTTGATCCATTCAGTTAACCCAAGTCTTTCAGGTGGTGAATTTTATCTATGTACAAAGGTTAGCATTGGTAGTGAAGACCTAACATCTGTTGTTTGTTGATGGGATAATAAATTTCACGTGCTCTGCTGGTGAGTTTGCGGTGACATGCTCTGTGTTTGTTTCCAATGTAGTGTACCTTTCAGTATTCCTTTAAAGGTAGTGAATTCTCTTAGCTGTTGCTTATCTGGAAAGTTATCTCCTAATTTCACTGAATATAACATTCTCAGTTTTTGTGTTTTGTTTTGTTTTTTGCTTTTGTTTTCTCTTTCAAGACCCTGAATAGATCATCCCAGTGTCTTTTGGCCTCTAGGGTTTTTCCTTTGAGAGGTCTGATGTTACTCTAATTGTCCTTTATGTGTAACCTGACACTTTTCTTTCACTCTCTTTAGGATTCTCTTCAGCTTTTGTCAATTTGATCACAATGCACCTTGGAGAAGACATTTTTAGGCTTGAGTTTTCTTGAGTTTCTTTGAGATTCCTGTATTTGGATGTCCAAATCTCTTTCATGACCAGGGAGATTTTCAACTGTTATTTTCTTTAGTAGGTTCTCACTGCTGTTTCCTTTTTTGCCTCTTTCAAGAGTACCTATTATGCAGATAATTTGTCACTTAGTGGTATCTCATATTTTGCATAAGCTCTCTTCATTTTATTTACATATTCATTTATTTTTGGTTGGGTTAGGTTATTTCAAAATTGTTGTCCTTGATGTCAGAAATTATTTTTTCACTTGGTCTATTATGTTGTTAAGTTTTTCTCCATCGTATTTTTCTATCTCATTGATTAAAAACTTCACGTCCAAAATTTTCATTCATGCCACTCATTGATTTCCTCATTTTTAAAATCTCTATTTCTTCTATTTTTATTGTTTGCCTCTCACTGAGTTTCCTTATCATCATGATCTTCAATTCTACATACCTGTCGTTGCATAGATTCCCTGCAGTGGGAGATCTGATTCTGGAGGAGGTCTTGTGTTCTTTTGGAGATGTCAGGCTGCCTAGCTTCTCCATGTCACCTGTGTCCCCATGTTGACATTTGTCCATCCATTGTATTCATCCCTTCTTCTTTATGGAGTAGGTTTTATTGGACAAGGGGATTTTGGTTTAGCTGGGATGCAGAGTATCCCTTGGCTTGGTTTGATTCCAGATGTGCTCAGCACTACGTAGACTCAGTGTTTTCTTTTGTCTTGATCAATGTCAGTGCTTTAGTTTGCTGCAGTGTTTTGGGGATAAAAATGTCACTTTGAGATGATAAGGGTTCCTTGGGTATTTTTGGTTCACATAGAGTTTGCTGTCATTCTCCCTGGTGAATGTGATAGGCAGAGCAGGCTTTTGGTGCTGAGGGAGATAAGCATGGCTACTCCTTAGTCCTACTAGCACGCCTCAGTGGCTGTGTTCTGGAGGAGTTTGGAAGATGCCCTTCTATTTGATGATCGTGACTTTGAAGACTTCAATTTGGATACAGTTTCATTTTCAGAAAGGTTTCCTTTGCATAAAATTACAACTCAGGATATTAATAGCTTAGGAAAATATAATCTTTGTTCTTCTGCACATATACACTTGCTTTTTTTTCCTTGGGTCCCCCTCATCCTGTTATAAGCATTCACAAGAGAATACCATTCAAACATAAAAAGAAAAACTTGTCATTTGCAAAAACATGGGTGAACCTGGAGGACATTATGTTAAGTGAAATAGGACAAGCATATACATAGTGCTCTATCTTACTTGTATGTAGAATCTGGAAAAAATTATCGTATAAAAGGAATAAAGAATAATACAGTAGATCCCAGAGGCTGTGGTTGGATGGGGCTGAAGGGGATAGGGACATATTGGTCAGAGGATATGTGATTATAGTTAGGGTGAATAATTTCAAGAAATTGTTGTGCAGTATAATGGCTGCAGTTACCTGTTTTTGATGCAAAGCTTTTGAAATCCATATATGTGAGAGATATTTACAAAGTTAATGGAAAATGTATCTCATGAAGAAACTCCGCATGAATCTCAAGATTATTTTGCACTAATCTTTTAGTTCCATTTTCCACCAACTTTTTGATGTCTTTCTAGTTGAATTGGGGATGGTGTGAGACAACTTATATTAGTTCTATGGTCTTGAAAAAGTTAATAGAGTGGAGGTTAAATGTTCTCACTGTGAAAATGACACTACGTAAATAATTCATGTATTCATCTGCTATATTGAGCCATTCAGCATTGTATATTTACTTTCAGCATCAGGTTGTACATGGTACATGTATACTAGGCTTTGCTTGCCAGTTAAGCCTTGTTTTAAAAGAGAAGCGCATATGTCTGTGTGCCTTCAGTCAGAGTACAAGGTTTAGTGATCAGTTACGGTGGAGGCGAAGCATAGGTTACCTGGGAGCCAGACCCGTTTGGCACCATCCAGAACCCAGCTGCCAGCTTCTTCTGCTTAGCTACCTTAAGTTGCCTCCTCAGTCTACTCTCTGAATGTTCTCACTTCCACTTTTTTTTTCTTTGTACAGGGTACAGAGTAATCATTGGAGATCATGATTTTTTCAGGATGGGGTAAGTTACTAAACTTCTTCAATCCTAAATATATCTATAAAATGCAAGTTAAAATGATATCTGCTTCAAAAGATGATTTTGAAGATTAAATGATAAAATACATCTACCTCAATAATGCAGTCTAGTATACAGTATTTTCTATCACATGGTAAAATAAACATACGACAGGATGATACTCAATACTTGCTATTGGTTGCTAACATTACAGATAGATCTCAATTTCTAGGGCTGCAAATGAGATTTCGCTTTACTCCTGGGCTTTGAGAGGCTTCATTCATGAATGATTTAGCACACATAATATTGACCAAATGCCAGAGTTTTGATTATTTCTGCTTGATTCAGATTTTCATGTAACCTCATGATTTTGAACAATTATTGGTCTTCAAAATGAAAGTGGGTTTGAGGGAGTATTTATATCGACTTATTGTTGGTTGGTTGTTGCAATGTAAATAGCTCTGAATGTGCCACTCACTGGGAAAGGACAGTATTCCTCGTCATGGACAGAATAGCCTTGTTTCATTTTACTAAACTGGTTGTGGTCAAGGCAGTCATGGGATTCCTTAAGTACAGCACAATGCCTGCCATTGTCATTGATATATCAGTGAGAAGACATCTCACAATTCACTGCTATTCCATAGAATGACCACTTCTCTGTCACGAAGACTGTACTGAGTTTAAATGTGAAATGCACGTGTTTTTCTTTTATAAAGACATGCATCTCCCAAGTATAGGCAACAGTTGCACAACTTCTAAGATGTGTATCTGTAAAATTTGTAAGCATAAGAGATAAATTGCCTAAACTCCATGTGTTATCCTTGATGCATTAGATGAGACATGCTTAAATAAGAATACAGCAAAATAGCATTGCTTACATAGGAAACTGACTTTAAAATTCAAATAAAAATACAAAGCTTCTTTCCCCTGCTTATTGCCCCATTCCTGCCAATGCATTTTCCTAGAGTTGAAAATCACCGTTCTCTTTTACTGACTTGGAAATAGATGGCATATTGGTCTCTCTCCTGAGGACCACTGAGGGAACTGACGCTGTAATTCTAGGCTGATGCCCGCAGCAGCACGGGGAGGTGAGGGCTACTAATGTAGTGATCATTTCTAGCCCTCTTGAACAAGCCCCGGCGTAACTCTTTGAATAACCTTCATAGGTGACCCTAATTGCCACTGCAGCCTTGAACAACAGTTTTACCACAGAACCATGATTTGAGCATGGAGTTGCTATTGCGGCCAGTTGAGGAGGAATATAACGTTAAAGAAACCAAGACCATAACCTGTTGTACAAGTCTATAGTTTGTTCTGTGAAAGAACTGGTTTTGGTAAATACCCATGTAGTTCCAATTTTATAAAATTGGAATTCAGCCCTGTGAGAACTATGAGGAACACAACTCAGCAAGCACAACATCAGGAATCATACTTGCTATCTGCTTGGCACTGATCTAGATTCTATCTAGAAATTAACTGCTGTCTCTCTTCTCAGGGATACAAGTAGACACAAGCTATTATTATCTAATTTTCCTGTTGAGTAGTAGAGGTAGGGAGAGGTCCAGAGATTTGTTCACAGCAGACATCTAAGTGTGAAATGCACATGTCTTTCGCATTCCCACAGACACAGGTGTAGCTACTGGAGGCAACGATTGCTGAACCCATTGGCCAATTTCTCCACTGAGTGTTTGTGGAAGGCATAAAGCTAAGGAATAAGTTGCTCAGCTGTACTATCTTACTCTACAGAAAGCAAGTTGAGGAAATAGAACGGCTAATGATAACTGGTGTTAATTGGGCACTTCTTAGGCCTGATGAGCACTCTTCTTGAAGCTTGATGTGTAGAGGCACTTCCTGACAAACAGAGGTTTGGCTAATGAGTTTTTGACTTGATGACAGTGTGACGGTGTTGCATAGCCAGTGGAAACCCTGTTTACATGAGCTAAACATAGGCAGTTTGAAGCTTTTACAATGCTAGCCATCAGCAAGCAAACATGGCTGCCAGTCAGCTCTGTGATGGAGAGGGAGCCTGACCTCACTCCACAACAGGCCAAATGGCTAAGCTAGCGTGGATGGTAGGATGGGTGTACCAGATGCGTTTATATTTAATGATGTTTCCACCTTATGGTAGGTTTATTGGGATGTAACCCTGTCATGAGTCGGAAGCTATCTGTATTGTCACATTTAAGCTCACTGTGGCCCAAAGAGCATTACCATGTTCTTTCAGGGTAAGGCAACAGCATCGATGGCAGACAGAGGTAAAACACTGAGCCCTACCTAATATTGGCATCTAGGAAGCCAGAGAGCAGGGATTTGAACTTCTGAACTTGGTGATTAACCACTAATCAAGAGTGAAGAGTGCCTCTAGCTGGAAAAACCCTTCCTCCAGGCCCCTTGGAGAATGCTGTGGGCCTCAACACTGTGCTTGCTGCCAAGAACACGTGCTAACCTATTGGGTTTCTAACCTATTGGGTTTCTTCTCTCACTGCCAAGCCTCAAGATCTTTCCAGTCTCTTGCTCTCATATCCCATTGCTCCAACCCCATACTGTCTCTTCTAGGGCTCCATTTCTTTAAGAGCTGGCTTTGGCTTGTTGGCAGATCGCCAATCTGAGAACCTAATTCACAACCACCACATGTAGTGGGAGCAAATGAGTTAATATGTTCCAGATCCTTACATGCTTTTGGCATAGAACTAACCAATATAATCACAGTTTATTATTCTTTGCAGGCAACAATCATTCTTTTATTCGTTCCATAAACATTGAATGACTGTTATGGTCTGGGCACTGTGCTAAGAGTACATTAGTATTTGTGACAGGAGCATTTTGGAAATGCAATGCCCCATTCATCCGAGTGACTTTAATAGTGGAGGCCTTTGGCACCTTGGCAAGAAGGCTATTTGGCCCTTCTCAACTCTCATTAACTCAATGGCATTGACTCTGCTTATCTGAATGACTGGTCTTGCTGGCACCATTTTTGAAAAAAAAAAAAAAAAGAATTTGATTTCAGTTTCACAGTTGAAGAAAGGAAGCAAATGGCTTGTCTGGGGTTGGAAGAATTTTTTTTTTCCTTCCAATGTAGCAGATACCGTTTTTCTCATGGGAAGATGAACACTTTCAACCCGACTGACTGCATTTTCAGCTTTAAAAGAGTAGTGTCTGTAGTGGGGTTTTGGCACCACTGTTAAAATGCTGCTTAGAACAACCACATTCCATATGGGACTGCTGGGATTCAGTCATGTTCTATCTCTGATCTCAGCCTCCTGTTACCGCACACCCTGCCGATCTGATTGTTCCAATACTCAGGTCCCTGTTACTCAAAGGGGAAACCTGAGCTGAATTTCCAGCATATGTCCTTGCGCTGGTCAATTCCAGCTATTCTGGGCCTTTCAGGAGTGAACTAATGGGCGGGAGATTTCTCCCTCTTATTCTCTCTTTCTTCTTCCTCTATTCTTTTCAAATGAAGATACTTTTTTAAAGATGCCAGTATAATTGGAAAACAGTAGTAGTTAAATGAGAATTTTCTAGCATGAGATTAGAGTAACAGCTTTGTAGTTTTTTAAAAATCTATTTAAATGAGTACATTTTTCTTTTTGTCCATTTCTAGTTCATTAGCAAAACCACCCATTGCACTGCTCTACTGGATTGCTTTGTTTCACTGCACTTGTCTTTCCTAAAACTTTTGCTGCATGACTTTCGCCTGTAAGTACTTTACTGAGAGTTACTTCTGAATCCGGAACTACCAATTTGTGGTGACATGAGCAAATCAGAGGATCTGAGCTGAAACAGGCATGTTTTTAGAGCTAATGAAGACTCTGTCAGGACTGATTTGGATGTAGTTAATGAGGGTCTGATTGAATTTGGCGTTCTTTTTTTTTTATGTTGTCGGCTCTTTTGGGCCAGTAAACAAGCTCCCTGACTTTTCTATACAGAACTATGGCTGATGTCAGGTCGACAGAAGGAGCATGTTTGTATCTGAGCTGTCTGACGTTACGCGTTCTGTGGATGATTTGCTGGGTCATCGTAGATAAGCCTTTTCATCTTTTTTATGTTTTAGTTTTCCCATCTGTGAAAGCATGATTACACATACTGGGCTTCCCTTGGAAGTGTTATGAAGGAAAAATACAGAAAGTGTACTATCTGGGGTGCTTTTGCAAAAAAACAAAAGCAAAAATTTGGCAGGAGAATCTCACCTGGAGGTGGAACACCAACTTCAGGCTAAAAAAACTTTGGATGAAAAACTCATCCAGGAAACACCAGGCCTGAGGGAATGTCACAGGTTTGGAAGTCATTCCTGACCGGAGCTCATTGGCACTGCCATGTCCTCTTCAGCAGCACGTGAACTCCCCATCTGTGAGTCCACATGAAAAAGGCACAGAGCTTTACAGTCCAAGTTCACACCATCCAACGGATGCCTTTGTTCTTTGGCTGTGAGGGCCGCAGCCGGCCTTGTTAGTGCTTCTCGCACGCAGTCACTGTGTGTTGGCAGGTGTGTGATCTCCTTGAGAAGGTGGTCGTTAACATGCTCTGACTTTGCTCTCCTCCATTGTGGTCTAGATTGCCCCAGTTCTCCCAGGCCAGGTATTCTTTTATAAACGCATCACAGAGAATCCATTGTATTTATTTTTGGTTCACTAAAATTGTTCCAGTGCTCTCCTTGATAAGATTCCTGGGTGAAAATACACCTAAAATCAGAGAACTACACAGAGAGCTTCTGCCTTTTATTCCTTCTGTTTAAAACCATACAGCAAATTTATATAAACTATGTGATGAACATGATAGGACAGCTTTGTTTCCACAACTTATAATTGCTGCATTTTGAATTCTTTTTTGTTGTTATCTATTGGTGAGGTAGAGAGAACCCATATACTGGTTCACACTCAAATGAGTCAAAAGAGAGACAGAGAAGCTTTCCTATCTATGGACTCACCTCCCAGACATGTGAAAGGATCGTGTGACCCACAGTGGAAGGGAGGAGTCAGGAGTTCAACCCAGGTCTCCTGTCCGGG